CCCACACATAAACAACTCCGTGCATTATGTTACAAGTCTTTGACTCGTATGATTCTAATAAATGTAATGTAATTGGTGTTTGTAGATTTTTTCTTAAAATATTCAGTTAGCATCCCCACACACAAACAACTCCGTGCATTATGTTACAAGTCTTTGACTCGTATGATTCTAATCAGTAGATTTTCCTTAAAACATTTCCATACACAAACAACTCTGTGTATTATGTTACAAGACTTTGATTTTAATCAATTGGTGTTTGTAGATTTTCCTTAAAATATTCAGTTGGCCTGCATTATGTTACAACCAATTACATCACATTGATTAGAATGCAAACTAAATTTTTACATTGATAAGAATTGATGAGTGAGAACGCTAACCAAATTTTTCGACTATATGACATTTAGTACATATCATTGTTATAAGTGAAATTTTCTTATTAAATTTATTAATTTCCAAATAATGATGCTTAAAATGTTGCTATGTATTTTCTAAATGTCATATAATTATTACATATATAGATTATAATTATCTTATTAAAGGTAATTATTATAATGAAACCCCTTAAAAAAATGACTAAGCTAAATCATAATCATACATACTTGGTAAATTATCTTATAACGGTAATTATTATAACGAAAACTACCCTTAAAATGACTAAGCTAAATCATAATTACTATAAATATTTTTTATAAGTAATTGATCAAAGAGTCATCGTATTAAATATGCATAATAGTTTTATATTTATCTATGATAGGTGTAATATTCTTATCAGTAATAATTGACATCGGAAATCTTGCTCGTTCAAAGAAATCGTATTTAGAATTTCCTAACTGTTTTGTTGCGGCAAGCAAATTTCTAGCAAATCTCATATTATGACTTTTCTTTCTTACATTTTTGTAGTAGGAATATGGATTTGTGTCAATTTCCCTAGAAAGCTTGGTTTTAGGTGTATTTTTACTGTCTACCACTGTTTTTGCATATTCATTGATTATGGCTTCGTCATCATAACCGGAATTTTCCGATATTAAAATATCGATAAGGGATAGTTCAGAACAAATAGGTTCTAAACACATGGAATGTTCCAAATATTCGGAAAGGTCTATTCTATATTTTTTCTATGATTCAGGATCTGTAGAATTAGGTAAGGAAGGTTTAGTCTTTTTATAACATGATGGACTTTTAATCCGGTCAATGAATTTTTTTTTCCAATCTTTTTTTATATCGTCGGATTCGGGGTCGCTCATTATTAAGATAAGTAAGTTAGGATTATAATAAACTCATTAGTGCTCATCATTTTATATTATTCAATCTGCATGTGGGCGGACCTCTAAATTTTTTTGGAAAATGATCAGAAAAATTCTGATTGGTGGATTCGGTGTATTCTAAACTATTTGTATGACGTCAGACATTATTCAGTCCTGGTTGAATGGGACCAGTTATCCTTCAGATACCATTGGATTTACTATTAAATTTAGGTTCAATGGATAACGGATTACTTCTCTAAGGTCATCAAGTTCATTATTATTAAAATTTCTGTAAATAAAGGTAATAATAAATTATTGGACACAAAAATTAAATGTACAAGCGACTCTCGATATAAGAAAGTTGCTAGGTCCGGCCAAAATCTTTCTTATATCGAGATTTTCTTATATTGAAGGCTTTTTATTATAAAATTTTTCAATTGAGATTTAAAAATCTTTCTTATACCAAGAGTTTCTTATATCGAAGGTTTCTTATATCGAGAGTACTTGTAATGTGAAAAAAAATCTTCAATGGGTCTCAAAGGTTTACATAGATTCGCATTTACTATTGATCAAATAATTTCTACTGACATTACTCCTGAGTTTTTTATTGATTTTAATTTTTAAAAAATAGTCATTGGCCCATAAAATACGGTATTATCGATCGTTTATTAGCGTTTAAAGGATTTGTCTTCAATAAAGAGAAAGGATTTTATTACAAAAAGAAAAACAATTAAAATTAGGTCAATATTAATAAAGAAGCGATCCCAAATACTGATAAAATTGATTGTGAAACATTTTATGTTATTGTTATGAGATTAACCAATTACATTACATTTATTAGAATCATACGAGTCAAAGACTTGTAACATAATGCACGGAGTTGTTTATGTGTGGG